GCCAGGTACTCTCAGTGTGCTTGGCCGTCTACTGCCGCTCCGAGCCGCACGGCTGAAAGCTTCAATGAGTCAAGTCATCCCCCAATGTGCCTTTCCGTCTCCGTACAGAACCAGCAAGGAAGGGCCGAAGTATCCCGCGGTTCAGATATGTTGAGATGTCGGCAGCGAAGGCAGCGATTCGGGCCTTCCCAGAAGCCCGATCCGGCACCAAGCGAGGCAGGGAATGTGGTGTGCCGTCACTCACAGCCGGTTCCAGGAGTTTTTTCCAAAGGAGCAAGGCTGGAGCCTGGCAAGTGCGGGATGTTGCGGGTGATACGCCCGAGGAATCTCCCTGCTTAAAGGATCATGGGACTTGGTAACTAGGATTATAAGTATGGTAGCTGTAGTTATACCTACTTATATCTGACGAGCCATGGAGAGCCCGAGCTTCAAAAGACAGAAAATCGGCCTTACCACAGGTCATCCAGCGTGTCAAGTCCTCACGGTCGGGTCTCAGCCTCGGCCCGCAGCATAAAAGCAGTCGGCGGAGTGCGGAGACTGCACTCGTCCTTTCGCCATCATTCCGGGCTTTGCTTCCTTTTCCCTCAGAGGTCCTCCGCCATCTTTGCTGACATCGCCCGTTGGCAGCCCTTCGTACAGGACCGCGTAAGGCATCGGCTCTGTTCCAGGCATCAGAAATTGAACAGAGCTCAGAAGACTGGAGCTTTGCCTGCCGCTCCTGTTCCATCTCACTCACCCGCGCTCTCTCGTGGCTAGTGTGAATCCTGTCAGAAAGAGAGAACAGAAGATGTGAGAAGAAGCCACAGCTTACACGGGTCTTGCCGTGATAGATCACAGCCGTCGTCAGAGTGATTCATTCCGGTTGTGCACACATGCGTGCCTGCATTTTCGGCATCTGCGCGATCTTCAACGACGGTTGAAGGCACAGGTGCAAGTTGTGTAGTGGTGTAATTGTGAGACAGAGCTCCAGCGAGGAAAGCATCTTCCAGCGACACGACAACTCCCAGGACCTGCATTGCTGTTGCACTCTTTGGCGGGTCAGGGCTGCTAGTGGTATGTGAGGGTCGGCTCCCTTCTTGTGATCGCCTCGTCTAGGACTCGTTGGCTCTGCCCGCCGATCACCAAGCCCGAGGGTAAAGGGCCGCACCATACCCTCATCGAGGGTGAGTTTTAGCGAGACTCCGGTTGCCGTTGTGCCGTGACCCCTTCGCTTTGCCTCTTCAGACCAAGCGTACCAAGCCGAGGTCCTTGGTCGTCCCCAGCGGCATGGAATTGGTGTTTGCAGCCTGGGACCCCAGCCACCATGCCTCCGCCCCTCACTGGTACAAGCGGCTCGTCCGGTGTCCGTAGCAAATTACATGCACGGTTAACGAAAGATGCCACAAAGCAAGAACCATTCCATAGCTGCAGCCGAGTTGCAGCAAGAGATGAGTGCCAAGGTCTCAGAGTTGGTCTCTGCTGAAAAGCAGCAGCTTGCGCTGGGCCCCGAGCAACTGAGTAAATGGGCTGGTGGTGTTGGCGCACACATTGGGTAGGACATCTTGCTAAGCCGCCAACGCACAGTGTTTGCCATGCAATGGAAGGTTGGAAGGAGTTTGCTGTCCAAAACTTGGGGGGACCTGTCTCTCTTTCCCGGAAGAGTTTACATCTCCTCAGGTTCCACATCGTGGATTTACAAGGTCAGCCTTTGAGCAGAGTGCCTCGGCAAAATGAAGTGCTTCGTGCTGGGGTCCGCGACATCTGCGACTGGTGAGTATCTCAGCAAACTTCTCAATCCAGGTCGTCGTTGACGAGTTCGGCTCTCGTTGCGGTGCGCCCCAGTTCAGCAGCATGTCAGGGCCCAAAGCCCAAGGAGTGCCCACGCCAAGAGTTATTGCTCACAACTTAAATCGTAATGGAAGGCACGCTTGCCACATGCAATTCTGCTCTCCTCGCCCTCCTGTGCTCATCCCTGCAAGCCCTGCCCACCAAGCGTGCAGCAGTGCAACCCCCACACAATTAGCAAAACGTCCCACCGATTTCAGTTGTCTGGGGTGGGATATTCGAAGTACATATTCGTTCCGACTTGAGGCTGGGAAATGCTTCAGTTTCTATCACGTGCTCCAGGTATCTTCCTCCATTCTCTCGACGAGCGGCCGCTTGCGTGGGCCCGTGCCCCGGCGGACTGCACCGGACCTTGCGGGAAATTGGCAGCCCTTGGAGCCCTGCCTCTGACAGTTGGGAACCGGCCCCACGCAACACAGTGAGACTGTGTGTAGTGACTGTAATTGCAATGGTCGAGTTGCCAGCGGATCGAACGTCGTCGACACGGACCCTGCACCTCGAATGCTGTTTGCCCAACCATCCTCAGCTGCCGCCCCTTCGAGATTCCTGCTGTTTGAGGTCCGCACTGCACCGCTCTACGAGCCAGGGCCTTGCCTCCCACTTGTGCCCATGGTGACTGACGGTGGCCAGTTCGCTGAAGTTGGGAGAACCGTCACAAACAGCGCAGCCCTCCTCACTCGTATCCGGGGGACGCAGTATGTGCGATATTCATGCCCATTATCTAAGCTCCCTTTGGCTTCCGCCCCCATGGTTGCGATCTTCCAACAGCAGCAGCAAGAGAATAAAAGAACTGCCTCTGCTCCGGAGTGCTTCTTCGCAATCACATTTTGCTCAAGCTATGCTTGAGAATATCTCGGACCAAGGAAACGTGGAGGTCTTCCACAAATTTGCTGGCCTTCCGGTGAGGCAGCGTGGGGTTGCCCATGGTCACCTGGAGGAAGGCTTCCAGACGTCAGAATCTCCCACTTCCCCTGTACGCCTCGCAGGCATATGGAACGATTGCCAAGGAAGACCCGGTGCCGAACAAGCGGTACGTGCCGGGGCCGTGGCAAATTTCCGATAGGTGTGCTTGGGAAGCGTGCAGGGGCTTCCGAGCAAGTCGCATCGGAGTTCGTGGAATCCCCATGATTTTTCGGACTCCTTGCATGCTTAACGGGCCCAGGCTGAGAGATGCTTCGGGGCAGCGGTTGTTCACTTTCAATGGCAACTTCCAGGAGAAGGCCGGCAGCCTCGCGTTTCACCAGGGTGTTCGAGGTCAGACTTCTTCGGGTTTAGGGCCTTTTAGGGCCTTTTGGATTCAATGCGTCTTCTGTCAGACTTCGTTGAGTCACGGAGTGTTTTGCAGGCCATCAATGTGGTGAATGCCAACGGCCGGCTTGTGTGTGACACGGAGCGCTGTGCTGCGCCGACGGGGAACGCACCATACTTCCAGGCAAGCAGCGGCCGCAGCGGGAAAGTGTTTGCGCTCGCCGTAAAAGCCCGGCCGACCATGAACAGCTCTCCAAGCCGCTCCATAGTCTCCCTTCCTCCTGACATCTGGTTGTGTCGAAACATACTGAGATGATTTAACTCTGCCCTGCAAGGCACTTGTCCGGAACGCCTCAGACTCCCATCGCATCCAGCCCATCCGGCAGGTAAGAGTGGCTCCCGGTGTCGATGCCGGACTTATTCTTTGTGGTGCACGGCTCAGGGAGCAGTTGAACCTCAGATGCTCCGACAGGGCCGGTGGGCATCGCGTGTCAGTGCTGCCCGAGCTGGGCCTCGGTTTCTAAACGAAGTCGGAGCTTATAAGGAGGATCCTACTATTTAGGGTACTATATTAGGGTCCCTTATTTTCGGAAACCCCTATTTAGGGTACTATATTAGGGTCCCTTATTTAGGATGTCCTTTTGGAGCCACCCCAATCAGGCTTTCAACAGGGAAGGCCGTGACAATCCTCCGGAACCGGCGTGACTGAAACATATCAAGAGAGGTGCCAAGGTTGAGGCGTGGGAGTCAACGGATCCCATTTTCCACATGTGCTGCCCAAATGCCCATTCGGTCCAAGGATTGCTGGCGATCGACAAACTTCGCCGGACATGACTCGTGTAGGAATTCTGGCCCGACCTCGCGATCCCGTAGGGACACATCGTGAGTCTCAAGTCGGGCCTTGTCCTTGTGTTTTTATTTCAGCGTGCCATCCCGCATCGAGAGCAAGACTTGAAGCCAGGAGTCGTGATTAGTGATTAGTCATTGCAGTCATGGGTGCTGCACATGTTGCTGAGAGTCGTTCAGATGGCTTGGGACGGTGCCAATTCACAAGACAAAGGTTTTGTGGAGGCTACACATGCTTCCTTGCATCGAGTTGCTCGCCATGTTTGCATAGGCCACTCATGCTGAGCCAATTAGTGGACATGTCGCCGCTCATTTTCTGACGCGGCACAGCAATTCTGGCACTTTGGATTGAGTGCTGGTATGAAGCTGCCGTGCAATCTTCGTAGAAATCCACAGTTTAAGCAGCATCGTCGCAGAACCATACAACCTTCACCATCATGCGTATAGTTGCTTCAACAGTGGTTTCTCAAGCTCTTGACGGTAGCACAGGCATGCTGATCCCTGTTCCACGTCATTCCTCGTCATAATCCCGGGCCCCAGAGCAGTCCAAACCCCCTGCGCGGCGTCTTCCGGTGGCTTGGCCCAGTAGCCGACACGGCCAACGTTGTTGGCTAGCAGGGTGGCAGCGCCTGAAGGGGTGCCAGTACCAAAAAAGACTAAGAAGCTCGAAGGGCTCTGGCCGCACGCTGTTGCGGATAGTTGATCTTGGGTGTGCATTGCTTGAGTAGGTCTCCGAACTCAAGGCCTCAAGGCTTCGGGAATCGAGGCAGCGGCCAGTCCCAGCGCTGTGCCAGAGGCCAAAGTCCCACCAGTCCCAGCACCGCAACCTCAAGACAACGAGCAACAATGGCAAGCTGTGCATTGCCGGGCTCAGAGCCAAGAGGAAGGCTTTGGCGATAACATGCCGGGCTGCGTTTCAACCAAACCACTCTTCCACAACTTCGCAAGCAAGAGTCGATACCTCAGATATGCATTGTCACTCGCCGGATCGCTAGAAGCACTTAGTCTAGCTCCACTGCCAGAAGGGTCCAGTTCAGTGGTGTTTCCCATCCTGGGCCTTTCTCGTTTTGGACACCACCGCAATGGCTCCTCCGGAGGGCGATGATGAGGCTGGGTGTTGAGAAGCAAAGTGCAGATTTAGCGCCACTGAAGCTGCAGGGCCACCAGATTTCCTCGTGATTTGAGATTGCCGGTGAGCTTGCGGGTAACCCAAATAGGCCCTGGGTACTCAGAAGAATCCGGCAACAACCCCTTCCGTCAAAGTTTGAGTAATTAAGTTTCACATCAAGAGCTTCAGCCATCTTCAGCCTAACGCAGGGAATCCTGCATGGCACATCTTCAAAGTACCCTGTCCTTGTTAGGCTCTTGGGCAGTGGCTTCCCGTCGTTGACGGGCTGCACATTGGACAGCTGGTGGAGATAGAGGCCCAAAGGGGGAATCTTGGCATGCTAGGCTTTTAAGTTAGGCTTGGGACTAACGCAGCACTAAAAGGCTAGCAGCTAGAGAATCTCAGAAAAGGGGCGGCAAACCAACCGAAATGTGCTATTCGCAAGGGGCCAGAGAACGGAGTAAACCAACCACCAGAACTTAACACCTTGAGCACGGCACCAACACGTGCGAGATATACTTATGGAAAGTCTGAGAAACGGGCAACCAACCTTTGGAAGGGAATCAGTGGGAGTGACAAGCGCACAGAAACTGTTCTCAAGAGGACCAGGGAATTTGAGAAGGGAGTCAACTTCCGAAAGGGGCTCACGTGCTGTAGACGGGGCAGGAAACTTTTGGAAAGCGATTAGAGAGTTGGAGAAACTGCCATCCGTTCAAGAGAGACGAGAGCCTTTCGGACAATGAGCAGAGCGTTCGCACTGGATTATGGAGTTTGAGCAAGGGGAGCAGAGATTGTGAGAGATGGGGCAAACCGAATTGAAAGAGACTGGGGAATTGGAGTTTTTGCGAAAGGCGAGCCGAAAAAGGGAGGAGTTTGCTCTAGCCAGCTTGCACATTGGAGCAGCAAACCCCTAGAAAGGAAAGAGAGAACCTACGCAACTTGCACAATCCACTCGCAAAGGGACTAGAGAGTTTGAGACATAGAAGCAGGTTGAAAAGGGATTGTGATTCGGAATGAGTACCAAGTGCAGCAAGCCTTTTGACAGAGATCAGAGGATCTGAGAAGCTGGAGCAAACCGTATACAAGGGACATAGGGACTTCACGAAATCGGGGGCCGCTCATCGTAAACGACGGATGCGACGGTCTGCATTGTTTGAGCAAAACGTTCGAAAGGAATCGGAGGGCCCGGGCAAGAGTCGTGAAAGGCGAGAGAAGTGGGAGCAGGGCCCAAACCATCGGGAAGGAAAAGGATAAGGACTAGAGAGTTGGAGAAAGATGCAATCCTTTCGAAAGGGACTTTCCAAACGGATCAGAGAGTTTGAAAATGCGTAGCAAGAGTCGAGGGTGATGAACTGTATTTTTGAAAGGGAGCGGGAACCAGGGGAAGAAACTCGAACACGACCAAAACATCAGCAATGGCCTGCCATTAAAAGACCAAAGATGTGGGAAGGGACCTACTCCTTCGAAAGGGAGGTTGCCAAATGCAAACAAACGGTTCGAAGAGGAATAGAGGATCCAACCGTTCAAAAAGGACTAGAACATGGAGCAGGGGAGAACGCCATTCGAGAGCGAGTTGTGATGTCAAGCCGGAGTGCAGACCTTTGGAAAATTGGAACGAAGGAGTGCATTCGATCGGGCCATGAGAATACGCAATCAGCTGAAGATGGTGTTCCCGTTCTGGCTGGCAAGCTGTCGTGAACAGTTTGCAGACCACGACTGGAAGACTCCTCTGACGGTTCCGGGGTGCAATCGTGCGAGCCTTCGTCAGGCCAGCCACGCCAGTTTGGCAGGGAAGTGGGAGTCTCAGTGCTTATGTGAGGTGTGCGGCCCTCCATGCGCTTATAAATGTTATGTGCTCTCGCCTCGCGGGTGCATCAGAAGATGCAACAGTAGATCTCAGCTGATGTAGTGTGCATGTGCATGGAGTGCAGTATAGCAGGTGCAGGCAGTTCGGGAAAGTGCAGTGACGCCCAAGGTGTGGTCAGCTTGTCAACTGGCTTCCACAGGAGAACCTTTTCGAGATTGCTCTCCTGAGTCGCTTGGTCGATCACTTTGCCCTAACTGATAGGACATGAGAGGATCCGTAAAGGGAGGTTGGTTCAAGGGGGCAGGGTGCTGAGGATTGTCGGGGAACCTGAAGGGGCATTGGGGAGAACTGTGGATGACCAGATATCAGCCCCCTTGAACCACCCCTCTCCTAGAATTCAGGCAACTTCACCTGTACCAGACTCAGGCACGGGGCGAACGGTGCGGGTGGACCCCAAGGACGTATGCAGCGTCGCCGACTGCCAGGCCACAATCTTAAGAGAACCTTGATTACTGAGGCTTCCGTAGGTTTAGGTTTTGCAAGCCTCTATCTTCCATGCGATTAGCCTAGCAGCCTAGCGGTAGTTCATGGTAGTTTTCAGGGTTAGGTCGTTGCAACGGACGCATGGGCTCAAGGGCTTGTCGAGCAGCCCGCGGATATAGGAGGGATCGCCACTGTGTCGGGTGAATTTCGTGCTCGACCGGTCAAATCAAGAGGGTACGGTCGCCCCTCAGTAAAATGTGTATCAATGTCCCGCACCGTAGTCCGACCGGATTCAGACTGTAGGTGGCAGGCAGAGGCGACGCAGGTTGTGCTAAAGAAAACAGATCAAGGAAAAGAGACAGTCCTTGATTCTGACAGTCCAACCCTGTCAGGGGCCGACAACTGGCGGTGGGCCGGACAGCTATGACATAGTTATCGGTCCGAGGACGAACCGAGATGCACTTGGCGAGGCACGCTTTTCGACATGTCCTTGCCGAAATCAACTCGTGACGCATTGCAGGCTGAGAGGCAGAGAGAAACCACAACTTGCAGCTGCCAGCGGTCACCAATCGTCAAAGTCTAGAGACCGGACCGCAAGTCCGGGGTCAGGGCAGGCCCGTCAACTGCCTCATCCTTTCTAGGATTTCTTAACGTAGATCGTTGCGGAGAGAAGAGGGGCCTCAAAAACAAGACAGCGAGACCACAAGAGAGAGGCGAGTGCAGAGACCAGGGCGCATGCATGGTTGAGTGAAGAAGACAGAATACTGTTCCAGCCCTCCTCCAGGTAGGCTCCACAACAGACCGCAGGAGCGAAAGAGCAAAATGAGCAAAAGAGTGCTGGCGTCTTCTCTTCAGCCCGCGGTTCAAGCGGTTTTTCAAGCCAGTACTTGCTTTGCCATCTCCACACGAAAGATGCTGTGGAAACACGGAGCTTTGCACCAAATCGAGGGAGCTCGGCGTGCCAGGTCCTCTCCAACAGCTTGTTAGAGAAAGGCTTGGAGCTGAGCCTCTGGGCCTTTGATGTGCACTGCAGCTCTTGTGATAGTGCAATTCGCTTGGTTCTCACATTAGAGGAGCCATCTTGACGAATCGTCTCTCGAGGCTTCTGTGTCCTTCGGCTGATTCAGCGCGATGAAGATCGTGAAGAAGCCATGGGGGTGACTTGCATGCAGCATATCTGCACGAGTGCTTCGAGCGAAACTTTGCATTCCTGCGGGAAGAACATCTCCGAATTTGCTAAGTACTGCCTGGGCTTGCCCAGCCTGTCATGTTGACATCGATGTTATTCGAGTGTCTTTGGAGCTGCACGCTGATGCAGTCCTGGTTCTCTCTGGACCTACGGGACATGCTTGATTGACCTTCATTCGGCACCTGATTGCCGCTGAACTTTGGTTTCGACAAGGCTAACAGATAGACAGATAGACTCAGATAGATCGAGGTTTTGGTTTGATGTCTGCTGACAGTGAGTTTTGTGATTCGTGCTTCTGCCGAGATGCTGCGGGGCTTCGACAAGGATAGCAGGCCGGTTCCTCAGCCGTCACTTAGTCACCAGTTAGTCACCGCGTGGACATGTGTGCCTGCAGTGCTACTTGCAGAGGCTTTGCCGACTGGCAAACGAAGTTGAGGAGGGCTACCTCGGTAAGTGAAAGCCTCAGTTCGCTTCAGCAGGGCTGTATCTTTGTGAGGATTTCACTGCCGCGGGCTGAATCTGCGAAATTCACAGAACAGTGACGCTCTATGATTGCAGCCACTGTGCTGAGGGGCGGCCGCGGCAAAGTTATGTGGCTGGATCCAGAAGACTCCTCTGTGCCTCGCGGTGCTGCATTGCGAAGGCCTGCAGATTCTTGTGTGTCTGGGTCATTCTGGGTCTGTTGGGGGACTTGGGTTCTGTTCAGTTCTGTGACCACAGCAAACTATATCACACCATGCCGGCACATCCGAAAGCAATGTTACGAATCTCGTGTCGGGAGGAATGATGCGAACATCACCAGCCTGGCGGAGATCTTGCAGCCCTTTGCGGAGGCTTGCGCGGGCTCCACACTTCAGAAGCTTTGAAGGGAACAGCGTGTCAAAGCAGGATGTTCTCGGAGCTCCAATTTCGGAGCGCACGCCGGCGATGGCGTGCATGTGAGGTCCTTGGTTTGACGCAAACGCGTATCGTCGTATCACTTCGGTTCAAGGGGATGCCTCGGGCTGCTCGGGCTCAGGCACGGGAGACCCCGACAAAAGCCGCCTCAGGGATCACAGAGTGCCATGGGATGAGCCCATCGTGAGGTCTATGACAGATGCGGAGGAAGCCATTTACGAGCACCCGACTGCTTCAGACACCATCATCGAGGACAGTCATTTTCGTGTATTTGCAAAATAATGACGAAGATGTCTCCAACACGAACTACCGGACGTGCCGAGGAAGAGGTTGTTCAGGGTTGACCAGCCGACTAGCCTCGATGTTGGGCACAGGCACGAGATGAGAAGGCAGAAGGCAGAACCCATGGAGCTCGCAGCATTTGCATGTGGAGCGATGTAGCTTGCCGGAACGACATAGTGACCAGCCGTGGCTTTTGAGAACTTGCAAACCAGTTCCTGCACCCTGCGCCACGCGAGGAGTTCTACGGGAACTGGGCACGCAGCGTGTTGCGTGTCGTTCGGCCGGCGTGTTTCTTTTTGCTGCTAGGATGAGTGCAGTGCACCTTCCTGAGATCCAGCAAGCAGTAGCAAACAGTAGAAAAACCGAAGGGTCAGGATCCGCTGTGGAAGGTGCACTTTCTGGGCCCTGGCGAGTGCAAGGCCGCGCCCGCAGCTGCGCTCCGCTTCCCTGCCCGGCACAGAATGTCAGAGACCTTTGGAGTTCAGCCCAGCACCCAAGGCCCCCTCTGGCCCCTCTCGGTTCGTGCAACGCCGCCACACCTTCCTGAAACTCAGAGACCGATTCGAAGGCTTCAGGAATGAGATTTGGGCCTGGCTTCTGATTCCAAGCAGCAGTGCACGTTCCCTTGGCTGCGAAGCCACATCACACCGGTCACAAGTTTCCTCAGGTGGCTCTGACCGCCAAAGACGATGCACCCATCAGTCGGCTTGAAGAGAGCTATGTGCCTCGCCTGACTGTGGTCAAGTGTCATGCGCGGTTTCTGCTGCCCCGTGATTTTCTTTAGCCAGGGTCACTGAAAGCCTCAGCAGATATCCGGCTTGCGAAGCGACAGAGTTGAAGAATGAGTACCAAGGAAATCAATGCAGGGCCCAACACGTCATCGCGGCATGTTTGTGAGCATGGCATGAGCCATGCCGTCGCGTACTATGAGTAGCCAGTTCACAGCCATCCAACGGCGGCGTACCTTCAAATTGCACGTAGATCCAGTTTATAGCGCTATTTATTCCAGCGACACGTTCTTGGGGCGTGTTGCTTGGCAATTCCGACGATCCCCTGTCTCCATCGTTTCATCGGTCTGCACGTCGCTCTCCGGAGCCCTTCGGCAGGATCATCCTGATGAGGCAGGACACCTTTGACTACTGGTCGCGAGCTTAGAAATGATGGGCCCCGTATCGCAAGACGCTTTGAGAGCTCCTTGGTGCCATGAGCAGCGACCTCTGAGGTGCGATGAGCCAGAGGATGACAGCGAGGCCTTCTGGCTGCAGCGCCAGCCCTAGCGTTGCATCGGAGGGACGGATGCTGGTGCTGCTGGTTGTGGTTGTGGTGGTTGTTGCGCTGCTGCTGCTGCTGCTGCTGCTGCCGCCGCCGCCGCCGCCGCTGCTGCTGCTGCTTCTGCCGTCCCCGCTTATGCTGGAGGTGGTGATAATGATGAAGAAGATGACAACATGCTGATGACGATAATGGTGAGTGCTGCTGCTGCTGATGATGATGATGATGATGGTGATGATGATGATGATGATGATGATGATGTGATGGTGATGACGATCATGATGACGATGACATTGTCGTCATGATGGATGCGTCACGGTGATGGTGCAGCTGTTGTTTTTTGTCGCTGGCGGTGTTCATTCAAGGTTTCCTGGTTGTTGCAGGGCTGCTTCGCTCGCCACGGCTGCGACCAGCTGCGTTTGTGGCTGCGGATGCGGTGCCAACCAGACCTGCTCTGAACCACTGCCTCGAACTAGGCCTGTTTACTGGCCTATGCTGGCCTGGCTGGGCGGGGTACTGTGCTTGTGTAGCTAGGCACTCAGGCCTTAGTGCCTACAGAACGTCGTCTGGGTCTATGGCTCGCAGCCAGACAAACATCATTTCGCATAGAGAGTTCTGCTGGTACGACGACCCACCACCGAAGGTGCAACATGTGCATGGAAACTTCCGCCCATCTCCACACTCCACGTGCTTCGGCGCGTTTGTTTCTGGGGTCACATTCGCTGTAGGCGGATTTCGACAAGCCTTGCCACGCATTGCCCACCTGGAGCTTACGGGAAGCGTTGAAGTCAATTTCTAAGTCCGCTGTTTGGAGCTCAAAGCCCGCCGAGGGCCTTCCTTCTCCGGGCCGGGCCCAACTGGACCCTGGGCGAGGTCATCGACGGAGACATCAGTCTTCTGATGAGCCGAGGTCCGAACGGAGAGTCTGAGACTGCGTAGTGTCTGCGTGAAGTCTAAGGGGCTTGAACGAGAGGGGAGCAGTGAAGGTGATGGCCCACCACCACCGACGGGCCCTTCGGTGGTCGCCGTGGTGCGCCCCCGATTCGATTTGGGCTGCTTTGAGACAATACACTGGACGGGACCATGGCAGCCTGAGCTGCATTTTGATCTCCATGCTAGAGCCAAAGTCCATTCCTTCAGGCACCTTACCTAGACACAGCCGAGCCTTCAATGCACAGCACCCTTGCTGAACCATTTCCTCTGCGTGTCTTCCGTGCAGTGCGCGCTGTCGCTGCAAGCCTGCGGCAAGATGACAGACCACCACAAAGAGCAGGGCACTCAGACCCATGAGTTGTAGGGTTGTAGAGCTTCAGTCAGAATTGAAGTGCGACATTTCCTGCCACAGCAGTTCACGTGCAAGTGCATTTTAGCTCAGAGCAGGTGGGCAGCATACACAGCTGGATGCGATGCCCAGCTGGAAATGCCCATCCTCCGTTTTGCCGTGCCCTGAGAAAGAGCAAGGTGAGCAATCCGGCTCCTTTGCAGCTCCCAGCGCATTGATCCGTGGTTTCCCAGGGTGCTGGCCACGAGCCAAGGAATATCTTCCCTATTACAACGAGGAGGTGGACATGCCGCAGGGCACGACGTTCGTGAAGCATTTCTCGGTGCAAGATGGTGCCGCGGTGGCATTCAGGGCCCGACAGCAATGCACGACAGTGTTTCTGCCTTGGCCTCTGAAGGCGTGGAGCTCTTTGACAACAAGGTCTTCGAGATCTCCAACATGGAGGCAACGGAGCTTCGAGCCCTGAGCAGAGGGAGGATGCGCCCAAGGCATAGGTGGAGAGACCTTTCCTTTTGTGGTGTTTGAAGCGAGATTGAGAAGTGACGAATGCTGGTCAGCAGCTAGCAGCTAGAGTCTAGAGAGTGTGCCTGCTGGTGCGACACTGACCACTGAGCTCGCGGGTTGCTTCGTGCAGGCCGAGTGCATGGACCCGATGTTCCGGCAAGTCATGGAGGCTCGATATGTTGCTAAACTAGATGCTTGTAGGAACACTGAGGCGCACTCCCATCCATTCGTTGCTGAGCCCGCCAACTCTGAGGACAGTCTCGAGCTGTTTTTTTCTGCGAATTCAGGTGGGCTACCTGTCCACCCTGCAGATTGGGCTCACCAAAAAGCCTGGGCCCTGAAAGCGGGATCTCGCTCCCGTTGAGGTACGTAGCACCGAGAGAGTGCACCTTTGGTGTATGAGACCCTTCCCGTTTCTCCGACGCTTCGCCAGAAAAAGAACAAGAAGGGAGCTCAGCGCCTTTTCTTGCGAGGGTCGCCAACTCGAAATCCACTCACGCCTCCGTGTCCGTTGGCCTGGACAAGCAGGAGGGCAATTTAGGTCGCGTCGTGCTGGGTGTGACTGCCACTGCAGGGTTGTGAGAGTTCTTCTGGGCCATCCTGCGCAGGAGTGGAATCAGATGCCAGTCGCACAGAGCGTCGCGACGAACAACCAGCTGGCCATCGTCGCGAATCGCTTCAACTACGTCTTCAATCTGAAAGGCCCCGCCCGCTAACGACTCCTCGGATCTCCTCGGGCCCTTGCAATTCTTTCAAGATTTTCGGAACGGCTCCACGTGTTTGCGGTCAGCCTTCGACTTCTGGTCCTCTGCAGTCATGTGGGGTGCGCGGAGCCCTTACCGAAACGCGACCTATCTTCACCGGTGGACTTCACCCGATTGCAGAAGTAAGACGAGCCATGCAGTTCGAAATAAGCCGCAGTCCATGAGGTGTGCCCAGGAGGGAACAAAAGGCACATGAACCCTCACGAGCCCGGGTCCCGACAAATCTGCGACAAGAGCTGACAAGCTGGCAGGTGGCAGTTATGCTTGCGACACTGCTTGCTCTTCCTCCCTGGTGGCACCCTGACCTGAAACTGGTCGCGCAGGGAATTTGCAGGCGCAGGCCTAGGAACTTTGAGAGCTAGGCATATAATAGGGAGCATGGGCCATAGAGGGTGCAATCTCCTCAGCGGTCGCAGCCGAGTCAAGGCCTCGCACTTGGGGAAAGTGAACCTCCTGGAGCAGAGGCGGGACTCGGGTCAGCTCTGTAGGGAAGCCAGAACTTTCCGCTGGGTCCTTCACCTTCCTGTGCCATGGGGCGGTGTTGTGGCGGCGAGCTGTTGAAGCACAGAAGTGCAGGTGGGATCCGCTCGAGTGGCACCTGGGACTGGGCACAGGCCTAACATTGACAGTGCCCGCCTCAGAGCGTCTCAGAGCTGAATTGGCGGTCGAGTGTCGCAGGGTTGTGGTGTAAGTGTCAGTCCGTGTCGGTTGAGTTGCGTCGTCGTTCAGGATGGGTCAAAGGGATGCTGACAAGCGCATCGTTGCGGGTGATCTGGATGCGCGCGAAACCAGGATGACCGCTGTGCAGGGAAGAAGAGCAGGCTCAGCGGAGGAGGGTCCTGCCAGGAGTGCCAAATACCGTAGCAAGCGCCTGTGTAAAGCACGGCAGGGAAGGAAAGTGAGAACAAAAACCACGTGCTAAACGGCAGAAGGGTTCGTCTGAAGTTTACGGGAGGAGGGCTGAGGCGAGGCCGGTGCTGGAGGGAGGAGGGAGCCGGAGTGGGCGGATTGCACAAGCTTGAAAAGGTTTTGTGCGGCAGTTCCAAGTTATTCGAGGTAGCCACGTGGAACCCTGCCTAGGTGGGATCATTCATCCATGGCTGTGCGGCGCAAGGGCACCCAGTTGCAGCAGTGAAGGCTCGTGAAGAGAGAGGCAGCTGCCACCAGCAGAATGCAGGTGAACTCTGAGACTCTGAACATCCCTGAGCCTTCAGACTTCAGTCGCAGCTACTCCCTAGGCACATGCTTTCTCCCGGCGGCCGGTGCTTCACCTTCAACGCCCGGGAGCCCGGGCAGAGTCGGGCCGGGAACTGCGTGGCGACCGGAGCTGCGGGTTCCGTCTCTCATGGCCGAGGCTACTGCGAATGGCTACAATCGCGGAGACGGCACTGCGGCCTTCCTTATCAAGCTTCTTGGCTTCTGAATCCATGAAATTTTTAGGGAAAGCTGCCAAACTCCTAGACTGCTGGACCCTCCTAGCGGATCTGGGGAACAGTGCAGCGAAGGAATGGCACCTTCGAGGAGGAGAGGCGCGCCGAAGCCCTTCGGGTTTAGGGTCATCTCCTATGTGTAGCCGTGTAGCCAATTGCTGAAGTGGGAAGGGATCTCGGACTCTGAAGGTCATCCAGGCTAGGGCGGCTAGGGGCTTTTCTTCTGTCACCCCTCGGGCCGAGTGGTGTGTATCGAACTCAAGCTCCAGGCTTTGGCTTCAGCTCCCTACTAGCAGTAGCCTAGTCACTGCGCAGTCGCTGAAGTCCTCAGCCCGCTGGCAATCCAGCGAAGCAGCGCAGGTACGCCTTCCTCCGCGGAACTCAGATTGGCCAGGATGGACGCAGCGCCAGTATGCCTTCGTCTCAGTTGGGCACTCCGAACCGCAGTGAAGCTTGACCAGGCACCCTTCCTTGACGTGGCGTTGGTTTCGTTTGGGTTTTTCCGACTCCGCCAATATCGGCATCCTAAACCCCGCAGCAAATCAAATCCCAGACCCTAAAGTTAAGCCTTGACCCAGACTTGGAGCTGCGCACACTGTTCGGAGCTAAACTGAGGTCAGCCCCAAACGGTCCTGCACAGGAGAAGTGCGTCCGGGGCTTGGCAGCTCGTGCTTCTGGGAGAATGTTCGAGGACTTTGGGACATACAGTATTTAGAAGTTAGAAAGGTTTAAGACACCAAGACATAGACCTTTTTCCCTCGGGTTGGAGGGTGCGAGATAAAGGTTGCGGTTGGCTACGAGCTCGAAGAGGGTCGGCCTTTTAAGCAGAGTTTGCAGGTTGAAGGCTTGTCGGGTCCATGTGGGGCTCGGCTTCATGCAGTGATTCCACGATTCTGGCTTTTGGGTCATGTGGCTGATCATCTCTTTTGGGACCGCTCGAATCTACGAGCTGCGAATGAAATACCCGATGAACGCTTACTGCTGTAGTTCGAGCATGGCGAAGTAAGTCTGTTCGGTAGACTGACCGTCATACATGCATCTCCGAATGTATGTCGAAGAATAGAATCACCTTGACCTTTTCTCAAGGTATGGGGCGCTCTTCGAGAAGCTCAGATGTCACCTTCTCAGCGCACTTGATTTGACGAGCCACAGGTCAGGGGCGTTCTTCGGCACGCAAAGGGTGTCTGGTCAGGCGACCTCCAGAGTCCACGGTGTGGGAGTGCCACGGCACCGGGCCGACCCTTCACGCTTCCTCTCGCCTTCAGTTATCTTCAGCACCGCTTCCTGCAGTGGCGGTGCATGTGGTCGTCGGAGTCTAGGGGTCGTGCGTACTGCTTGAAGCATCAGGCTACTGTACATGTGATTGGGGAAACCATGGCTGAGTATGGAGAAGTCGATTGATGGGGCGATTCCCGGAGAGAAGCTGCACAAAGATTGCAATGAACTCCCGTTCTGTAGCTTTTCTGATTCGAGGGATCCTGCCAAGTGGCGAGTTCAGCCTTTAGGTGAGGCCAGGGGCCACGCAACCGCTGCTAGAATCGCTCTGCAGCCAGGACCTCCCTTGGAGATCCCATCGAAGTCGGAGCAGTTCGAAAAGCAGTTGCCTCAGAACTCAAGAAGCTGCTGTCTTACACAGCAGACGTGCAGCAAGCAGTTGTGTTTCTTCGTAGGGCACTTGGCTTCTCAGGTGCAGGTCAAGGAACAGCGCACCGAGCCTCTTCTGATCGCCAGCAGCAAGCCACCGACTCAATGATGTGAGGAGGTGCTTCGTGGGCGTGTCAGACAGGAAACCACTCCGACCGGTCCACGGAACGTTGCTGATGCCGGTTTACCAAGGTCCAATCTGGGACATCTGGAAGGAAGCGCGCGCTTCTCAGAGCACGGCAGCACGATTGGTTGCAACGTAATCCCACACCCTAGATTACCTGGATTGCCCAACTCCGTCACGAGGATAGAAATTTTGTGCCTAATCGTAACTGCCAGCATCATGTCCCGTAATCAATGATAACCCTACGGGAAATGATTCTCCTTGCAACACCTAGCGCGCAGTGGTGCGACTTGCCGTGGGGCTTCGTCACTCCCTCGCACTCCACACCTCAGCATCCCTAACTCCCACACCAGAACAACCCCCTAAACCCGAAGGCATCACAACATCGCATACCGTAGCATAGCAACATAGCCCAGCACGGCATCGTGCAATGTAGCATAACATAAGCACGTTCCTGAGTTTGCTATTAACCTCTGGTGGCTTGAGCCAATCATGTCTTCTCTTGGTCGAGAAAGGCCAAGCCTGGAGAACAGCACGTTCGGACTTTCGGGGTCGAATTCGTCTGAGCGCCCGCAAAAGACAGTGGGTGGGTCTCTGCATGCATGCTCACTCACTCGTTGGCACAATGGCACATCTGCCCCAACGGCTCCCAAGGCGGCGGCCATCGCGATGAACAAGTGCATCCTGGTCGTGATGCACGCCATGGCTGCCGGGCACTTGTAAAATCCACCCGCGCGTGTGCACTTCCTAGTCGGCGGTGGTAGGTCAGATTTACGGGAAATCCTCGGGACTCTGGTCCAAAATTCGTGTTCCGTGCTCGCTTCCTTTGATGTGCAGCTGCTTTGATTGCCAAGTTGCCGACGCAGCACTTGAAGACGTTGAATCCGCACTTGGACCATGCGGCTTTCGATGCCTTGTACTCCACCGAGCAAACAGTGCGGCTCCTGGCCCGTTGCAGATGCATTTGGCATGAGCTTCTAGCGCCGGATAAGTCTTACGAAGCACGCCCTGCCTTTGTTTCGATACAGCAGAATAAGGCACAAGAAAAACAAACTTTGCTCACTTGCTCTCAGCTGGAGCACCTGCATGTCCGCTGGCACGCAGGCCTACAAGTATGCCCAGGGCCACTGCCAGGCACCAGAACACTGTTAGTGAGGGGGACAGGCAGATGATTCGGACCTGAGCGAAGGAAATCATCCTGGCTGCTTGGCTGTCCCATGTGCAGCACCGGGCAGGTGTCCTCCTTCGGTGTAGGAGGCACAAACGGCCACGCCATCTTCTGGGGGGAGAAGGCAGACGAGAGATGCTTGCAGATGCGATGACTGTTGTTCAGCTTCGTTCGGAGTATCTCTGTACCTCACCAATGTCGTGGCACCGCACTCGACCCCAGAAGCCGCTAAATAATGCCCTGAGTCGCGCTTTGGAGGCGCAACCGGACGTGGACTTCCGCAGGGTCTTCCTTAAGAGCCTCGTCTTTAGTGCAGCCAGTAGACTGTAGGCTCCAGCGTGGGCCAGACCCTTGCAAGTGTACCAACATGGCCTTCTTGCATGTTCTTGTTGCTTGCTCCTTAGATTGCAATTGTTGAAGGGGCAGGTCAGGACCGGTGGCATCTTGTGGCCAGCTTTTGGACACAGTTAGGCTATGTTTAGAAGGTTTAGAATCTAGATGGGGCGCGATGTCATGGCTGATAATGTGCTTTCTGCGCATGGATGCCAGGCACCATCTCTGCGGGCATCCACGGAAGCACAAAATATCCTTAACCGCTTGTGCTCAGACAGACCTGCAAGCCTCCAAAGTGTTCGAAAGGGTTGACAGGACTGCTGGACAGAGAAAATCTTTCCGTATCAGTGATCCCATACAACCCCGGCAGATGCTCTGAGGAAGATCATGCGTGCCACACCGCCAATCACCACGGAGGGCTCCACGGACCCTGCCTTGTGGGACTACAGGGGGCTTCCGCCTCAGAAGAGAGCGTTCCTGCATATGAGTGAGCATTTTAGTGGTCCAGTTGTGGAGGGGTTCCAGTTTCAATTCCTTGCTCGAGCATCGTTGGAGCCCCTCAGGGCACCGGTCTGTCGGCCTATTTCCCTTGAGGCTTGATTACAAAGCCACCATGGGGGACACCTACAAGGTGTCGCTTGACAAGGCCTGGCGAGTCTGATGGCGGTCACGAGTTTGCGGATGCCACAAAACAGAGACAAATGTGGTGATCAAGCTGTTTGCACCTAAGTTCGGGGATACCGAAGCTTCAGACACTCGATGATCCAAGAGGTCACCACTATATCTGCATATCTGATGTATACTTTCCAGTGTTCGACCACATGGAGGACCCACTCACCGGTGAGGAGAACGTCAGCTTCGAGAAGGAGCAGGTCCAAGGGACCGGCATGGACCAGAGCTGTTGTGCTGCTGAATGCTGCGGAGGTCAGGGACGACCCTGCGGAGTTCTACAGTACGACGGGCAACCACAATGACTGGGACAGTGAGCGAATGCAGGAGGGCTCTGTGCTGAGCTTAGTTTTCTGGCTGCAGTTTTTGCATCTCAGGAACCTGAAGAGCAACATTCACTGAGATCATTTTGCTAAACGTTGCTTGCAGTCCACCATGGTGTCGCGAAGGTTTGTATGGTTTCGGGCTGTGTGAAGGGGACTGCAGCAGAACGGACTGAGAGAAATGGAGTACTGCACCTCAGATCCCCGGTCTGTACTTTCAAGACATCACAGCTGCGAGCTCAGTTGGGTGGCACTGAAGTACAGCAGAGTGCAGTGGGCATTCCAAAGTTGCACTGTAGCGGTGTGGGAGAGTCGGGTCCGATTCTGTGGCGGTGCTGAGGTACCGGAGGGAGGACAGCTCGAATTCCGCATCCTAGCCGCGCAGCAGCAGATCATGGTTCGCTCGGTGCACGTCCGGCAAAGCAGTAGCCTGCAACGATAGTGCAGAATTAAGGGAAACAGGCAATGCATACAACAAAGATGCCAGATGGACGGTTTCCGATTTTCGTGGGTTTGAAGGCGCTCATTCCGGGGTCTGCACAACCGTCAAAGCGGGACGATGTTGGACACATGCCGCAGAGATTGCTGCGACAAAGATGCAGGTCGATGGAGATCCCGACAAGCCATGAGCTCAGAAGTCCCCCTGGATGCCATGAGCTCTGGATGCCCTTAGCAACGGACATTCCGACCAGCATACTTGCACCTGCCATGTCAATTGCACATCGCCTGCAAGACTCAGCTCATGCGACTGGGCTGTCGGATCCCCGTCAGCCCTTCTTTCAGGAACATCGGGCCCGAAGATACGACCTCGCTTGGGCCTCACGTTCAACTGCCGTAGAGTGCAGTGGTATGGGTGGTGTCGTGGCGTGTTGGGAAGCGGTTTAGTTTCCTAGCTGTGGTTTGTGACTTCATGTGGATGTCAAGGCAGCCTCTCGTTCCGATCAAGGGACCGGAGAAGCAGCTGTGCTCTTGGCATGCATTCTAGAAACTCTTCGACTTTCAGCAGGGATGCAAGAATATGAAGGAGTCTGAACCGAAAATATCAAGGCAAGCCGTAGACATGCATTCTTGAAGACCTGCTTTTACGGCAACATGCTGCTTGAAAGTGCTTTATCTGATGCAGGCAATGCCCACCCTGCGGATTCAATGCTGGTGTCAGTGCAGCGATTTAGATGGAGATATACCCCGCAAAGCAAACGCACATAGGGTTCCTGTGCAATCGTGGCAGTGGCCGCAAAGCAGGCGCACCTCGTGGTTGGTGGACGCTTCGCCTGGCACTCTCGTCCGGGTCCGGCTGCCTAGACTTTTGATCGGGTCACGTGAAGTAAGTTGCTTGTGTTTGTTGCTACCCTGACCTGTGAACGCTTGGTGATACATAGCATGCGAGTGTGCGGGGGTTCACGGTCCACGCAGGTACCGGCAAAGCAGACGTTTCAGATTGCTTTCTTTAGCGGACACGACCCGGCTGCATGACTCCGTGCCAAGGTGGAATTCCTCACATCCACGAAGGCACACAAAAGAGCCACAGATCCTTCACTCTATGGCTTGAAAGCGTTTCGCTGGCATTGTCCGGGGAGCATAGAATCGGGGAAGCCGTCTGTGAAGCGAGCGGGGCAGGCTACGGAGCTGCGGTCCGAAGCACTTCGGGAGAGCTGATTCGCCTGTCCAGGATCTCCACAGCTCGTTGAAGCCAAGAAGTGTCTCATGGTTCATCGCCCGGGGCCCGGCCCGGAAGCCAGCACAACTCAGCTGGGCCCTGGCAGTTCCGTCTCAGTGCCGCCTAGCGGGCCCAATGCATCTCCTGCTAAGGTTGGGGACTAGCGTGCTCTCGAGGTCTGAAGGGCCGCCGCACGCGAATTCCCAATCACCTTCCGTAGGATTGAAGTGCAAATGCCAGGTTAGTGGTAAACGGTGGTAAACGATAGTACACGTATACTTGGATATCCTGAATTGCACCCTTGAGTTGTAGAGCCTGCACCCTTTGGAGCCAGTTATCACGTATCCTAGCTGCTGCTCGTTGGATTTAACTACGCTTCTGTCGAAAAGACTGTTGGCACCGGGCGATTTGACGAGCTGTCCGACAGTCCGACATGATCTGTGCAAGATCGGGTATGACTAGGGTCCAGCTGTGTTTTGTCCAATCCAAAGACTGCATGGCTGCCGCATTCCTGGAAGCAGCCTATGTGCAAGAACCCCTCGTCTTACAGGCACTGCGTTTGATTGCACGAGAAATCCAGCCTCTCTAGAACGCAGCATGCGATGCACCCAGCAGCCCTCTGAGAGATCGCCTTCGCTTGCGAAGGCATACGAAGGCCAGAGAACTGCCTGCTCCCACTCGTGTCCGCAGCTTTCAAGGCTTCAGCTTGCCTCCAGTTTCGGGCTGAGTGCCGAGGCTGAGCCTGCTAGGATCAGATGCATCATGGGGCACCCGGTGGACGCGGCATGTGCAGAGCTCCGCAGCATGGCTCTCGAGAGGCAGCAGGACTGAAACTGTGGCCGCTGAGGGGTCGGGGATGCAGGAATCATTTAATTGCTGTTTCGACAAGCTCTGCAAGCACTCCGGGAGGACTGGCGGAGACTAAGCTCCATGCCGCTGCTCGATGCCACTGGCGAGCTCCTGTGACTCAAGTCGGAATGCAACCATGTACTGGGTGCACTGGGCGGAGCAAGTAGAGGAAGAGGGTTTCCCGAGTCAGAAAAAGCATCTAGCTCTTGGGTGGTATGCCCAAAGTTGTGCTTCTTCAGCCGTTTGAGTTCTTGCCTGTCTGATGTTAGCAGCATTCCCCAGTAATCGATGGCTGCGCATCTGAGGACGGATCTTCCTCAGCTGGCGATCCGAGAAGAGTGGCGCTCCTGGCGCGAGAACACGCTGCTGACGGAGATCTCGAAGCTCCCGGATGGGCACCGTGTTTTGCTGCAGGCGTTGTTGTGTGACACCCTTGCGGGATACGAAGAGCTCCAACCACGCTTTGCGGCGTTGACACCGCCACCACGGGAGAATGACAGCCTCGCGGCTCGGCTCGTGCGACTGGCTGCCACGGCTCAGGCCGAGACCGCCAGGCTGGTGAACCCCAAAAGCGGGAATTCCGCGAAGTCTGGATCGGATGCTTATCTGAGCATGCTCCTGCAACAGAAGTTGGCCTTGGCGAGGCAGGAGCCACCAGTCCCACCCACAACAGTGCTTCACATGTGGGACAGATGGTATGCCACTGCGGAGCTGGGCTTCCCGGACGAGGCTCTGCTGAAGCTGCAGCTGCTCAAGCTTCGACAGAAATCTGCATCGAAGGTGATCTGCTGGGCCATGACCCGTCAATTACAGAAGAGGAAGCTGTATCAGGAGGAGATGCGCATCAAAGCTGCTCTGAAGTTGCAGCGCACATTTCGGAACATCATTCTGCCACGACTGCGTCAGCTGCGCGAAACCGTAGACAAGATCCGGGAAAGATGTCTTCAGCAACGCTTGCATCGACGTCTCGAGCGCTTTGTGCGGGCGAGGCGCTTGTCGCGTAAGACAACCCGGGCGAGATGGGTAGTCTCTTGACTGAGTTCGGACACGATTGTATGGCCGCCGTTCGATGCAGTGGCGTTAGCTGCTGCTTTAGTGCTGCAGTTCTCGCAGCTTCCTCTGTTGGGTACACAATAAAAGGCACCGCACCGACGCACATTCGAGCCACGGCCACGGCTGGACCAACAGCCCAGGACTCCCTGCCTGAGCCTGAATCATCTGCATCGGCGCTTCGGATCCAAGCCTTCTGCCGAGGCTGCAGGGGCTGGGCATGAGTTCTCACTTGTAGAGCCTTTCTGTCGCTAGTGTGCTAGGGCTGGCTTGAGGCAGGCTGTGCCGTTTTGAGAAGCTGGAAACATCCTATGCCCATCGAACTGGATCAGGTCGTTGGAGTCGAAAGGGCTGGAGCTACTGCTGCTCGTCTAAAGTGGGTTGGAAAAGAAACTCCCCATTGCAGGAACATGACAGTGTGTTGAAGACTCCCTCTCAGGGTATTGCTTCCCAGCTCAGAACCCGGAAATTAGCAGGAGCAGAAACGTTGCTTAGCTGAGGCTGGGATCCCCCCTTCACCCGCACGTCCACTTTAGCTGCACGACAGCGCCTCGCCTGAATCGCTTTTCTGGGGGCTGTCGGTGACTATCCACAGAGCATGTGCAGTCTGGGTCATTCTGGGTCAAGAATGGGTCAAGATCTTTGAACAGCATGGCTTCGTGAAGCCTCTATGATGATCTTACCACGGGTCAACGCGACATGATCATGGCCTGACCATGTATCATCGGCCGAGCCGTGACTGTCTATCTGCAGCCTATCAGGAAGCAAACTTTATTGGCCTTGCCAGTGCTGACCGCTGCCATGACGCTTGGACGTTGTAGCATGTTGGCATGACCCGTACAAAGAATCAAGCATCCCCCCGTGAGAAAGCCTGGATGTAGTCCTTCTGCAAAGCCAACGAAGGAAGCGAGAGTTTGCACAGCTTCGCTGTCGGCGCAGAGATCATTCGAATTCTGAGCGACTTCGACGTAGCTGGCTGCCGGTTCTTCAAGCCGAGTTCTCGATGCTCAGCTCCTGGCATTTCGAGGCGGAGGATAAGGAGCGCCGCGCAGACTTTGAAGCCCGGAACTTGCGGCGCTTCGAGGCTCAGTGGCAGAGATATGCTGCTGGTTTGGAGAACTTTGCTCGTGCTCATGCTCTTGACCGCTCGAAGAATCGCGACCAGTGGGTGGCAACGGTGAGTGACGGGAAGGCCGTGTGGCTGAACGAAAGAACAGGGCAGACCCGCCCGAGTGACCCTCTTGAAGCCCGTGTGCGGGGCACCCTGGCACGGGAGCGCAAGACGCAGGTCTGCATTGGATTTTGCTCTAGCTCACGTTTAAGTTGTTGCGTGTTTTGCAAAGCCCTTTCTGAGTGGGTCCAAAACTTGCCCAAGCTCCGGAGCAATCCTGAAAGCCCTGCTCACCCGAGCCCTGGTCTGCCTTTGACAATGCCGGAACTGAAGAGAAAAGACAAGCGTCGGGCAAGGAAAGCGGTCGATCGTTTCGAGGATCAGGCGCGGCAGCGGCGTGCCGCCTGGGAGGAGGAGGACCAGGCATCGGGGGGCTGCTTCTCAGATCTGCCATGACACCAAGTTCCCTGACTTCTTCGGAGGCTTTGGAGGAGCTCTACGCAGCCGGGCAGGTGGAGCTCCAGGAGACGGGATGCACGCTGCAAAACTCTAGCACCCCAGAATCCCTCAGTGGCATAGACTCCAGAGACAGTCTGAGAAGTTCAGTGAGAAGCTAAGCCTTGCAGTTTCAGAGTCAGATCTGAATCTAGAGGACATCACGCGGAGTTCCTTCGCTTCCACTTTCGACTGCATCCAAAAACGGGGCTTGCCGTCTAGATTGTGGTCAGGCATGACGAGGAAAGGAAGAATGCACTGCGACCATTCGCAGCAGCAGCGGCATCTGTCTGTATGTATAGTTAACGGCTTCACAATGCCTGCTGTCTTGCTTCAGCTTGAAGATAGAGTGTCCTTTTGCGCCGAACTCCTTGAAGACTAACCGCGACTATCTTTTCACCATTAAGGCAGCGATGGGAAGTGGCGACTAGACCTCCAGAAGTTCTCCAGAAGCAGACCAAGACACTCCACCAGCAGCAACACCCGCAGACAGTGATAGCAAGCCCGAGCGACTCATCAAAGCCAGCACGAAAGCTGCCCTGTCACTCGAGCCTACAAGTAGAACAGGCTCAGCATGCATGAAGTCTAGCCATGGATGTTTCTCAGTGTGGGAGCAGCCCCTGTTGCACGAACGACAAGAAAGAGGCTGGGTGAGCAGCAGCGATGCTGAGTGAGTTGCCAGAATGATTAGTCACTAACGCGTTTCTGTGACTATACCCGCAGTTGGGTATGAAGCTTTTTCTTGCCAGGAGCCGGGTCATAAAACAGTGCAAAGCTCGTCGCTGTTTTTTCACCTGCCGCGGGCCTAGACTGGTAGTGCCGACGCAGGGTCTCTCGATCTTACGCACTCACGTGTCGATAGTAGTTTGCATGGATGTCAGCAGCATTCGGCGATGCTAGTTTCTGCTGCTGATGCTGATGACACTCTTCTTGATGATGCCAAGTGGTGCTGTTGCTGATGATGATTGTGACAGGCAGGTGCTCATGTTTGCGCCTGCGCATATGGACGATGAAGGGGTGCAGTACTTTGCCTGAGGCCGGACTCCTCCCAAGTTGTTGATGCTACAAAGACTCCGGAGGTGCTGGGGTGGTGTGGGCTGAAAGGGGAGGGTGCCCGGAAGATTGCATGGAAAGATGGAAGCTGGCAGGGACCACATCAGAGGGGCCCCGTAGAGCTGGAGAATGGCATCGCTGGGGTCTCAGGGCATTCCGAAGTCTGAAGTGCCGTTTCCAGCAAGGCGTTTTGCACACCCAATGACTCGCTGCCCGACTTTACCTCCCGACCATGCTGCACTCATCCCGTGCGACTCAGATTTACACCGGGCAGTGGCTTGGTGTCCATCGACACGGAGAGGGTACCCTGCTAAGGCAGGCTGCCTGGAAACCTGCATCGGTCCACTTAGCTTGAAAGGCTGAAGCGGTGTAGAGTCTGAGAAGGGTCTGCGACAGGAGCTCACGGATTAGCCTGCAGGGTAGGCTTTTGCTTGGTGCCTGATCTTCCAGGCGCTTGCCCCTTGCCCCAAACATGGCTGTAAAATGGCTAGCATCATCATGAACCATAAGACAGTCAACACAAGTTGCAACCTCTCCTAAGCCGGCAGACCTTCAAGGTACTTGTAGCTTCCAGAACAGTGGAATTTGGACAATTCAGGCAGCTCTACTCGGCATGAGTAGTACAGTAGTGAGACAGGGATCTCACGGAAACATTCATTATTCGACGCCCCACAACTCTCGACCCAACTTTTTTTTATAACTTCAAACCTGAATCCAACTTCCCCAAAGCTTAAAGCACACAGCCATTCAGCTCGGAGGTTGGGTCGAGGGTGGGCTGTTGCCTTTGCAGTGGAAGCATTGAGTGTCATATCTTTGTAGTAGGTCTTGCTACCGCAAGTCGCGCCATATTACTGCAGCCTTATGCTGAGACTTGCAGACACAATATTGCACTGCATTGGGCGGTTGGAAGCGTTTGTAGTTGTAGAATGACGCCGAGGACCAGTATGTCCAAACTACCGAGTTGCATGAGTTCGTCTGATTAAACAGCAGTGCGAAAGCAGCACCAACAACATCTCATCACCAAAGCCCCCGTCACGAATGACGATGTGACCATGAAGCATTTGGCTATTAAAGACATTCTCGACAAATGACAGTCCGTCGTGATCCGAAGAACCTCCTACCGGTCGAATCTGGAAAAGATGGACTTCTTCGTGGACTTTGCAACTATAAACATACTGAGGACCGCAGCAGCAGGAATATGTCTGATTTCCATTTTCATCCGTATCATCGCTCAGAATACTAGCAGCACAATACGGGGCCCTAAAGCTTGGAGCATCTTGGAGCACTTACACATTCAAACGAAGCCAGCAGTTTCCGAAGTGGTTGCAGCCTCCAGCTGTCCCGGAATGGCACTTGCACGCCGGAAGTCTCCTTCGATGATGTCTGGCCGTGTTGGACCGCAGCAACGAAGTTTACTTGAATTATTGTCGCTCCCCGGCCAGGCCCGACGGCGGCAGATACGAGGGGCAGTTTGTCAACGACAGAGCCTGCGGCGGGGCCTCCTGGTCTGGGCCGGTGCACATCACACTACTGCCACTACTGTACTTACTGCTAGTTGCTACGAGCTGCTACTACCACGAGCACGACCACTACCAAGGCTATCCCACCAGCAGCAGCACCAGGAGCAGTACCACCACCACCACCGCAAAGACGACGACAACGACGACCGCGACTACTACGACGACTACTACTACTACTACTACTACTACTACTACTACTGCTACTGCTACCACAACGACTACTGCTACTACTGCTACGGCTGCCAATGCTGCTGCCACTACTTCCGCACTACTTAATAGTACCCACTACTTACTACTTACCACTTACTACTTCTACTTACTAGAACTACTTTACGCACCCCACGGTGCATCAGGTATCTTTGCGGTGTAGGTACTTTTCAATGTTGCATACTCTTTCAATACTTCCCCGGGGTTACCTGCAAGGAGGAGCCCCGCAACAGGGATTAATATACCTCCCTACGAGTTGCCTACAGGAACAATCGAAGGTATACCCCGCATATCCCCGCATGGGGAAATCCTTTTGAGCGCATTGGATACCCCCGCCCACCCCTCCAATGGCAGATTTTCAGCCTTGTTATCAACTTGGGAGATTTGGAGGGTCTGCAAGCATGTCGCTGCAAGCGGAAGATAGCGGAAGTCCTGTTGCGCTTTTTGTCTTCGGTGAGGTAAGTTAAAGCGAGGTACCTGCCATTACCTGCCCGAGAGGACGTGCCCACTCTCCGCAGACCTGCAAGCTTTTGTCACGCCGAGGACGTGGGAGATTTGTCCATGCCAATGGCGACGTGTACGAAGGCCAGTGGCTGGATGACAAGGCTGGAGTCGAGGCGTTCTTTGCACTCGGCCTTCGTGCAATTTGCAGCTCGACTGGGGCGTGACTGCTTTTGCATCCTCCACGAATATCTAAGTGCGGAAGCAGTCTGTCGTGAATCAGGCTCATGGCTCTGGGAAGTTCCTTCACTCGGACGGCGAAAGTGGCATGTTTAGCAGCATTCAGCTTCAGCATGTTACTTCTCGCCAGCGAGAGCGCACTCGAACGAAAGGGCTCTCAATGTACACGTCCAGTCGAATTTGCTCGCAAAAGAGCCTCGAGAAACTGAGGTTTGAGAGGGAATAAAGACAGGGGGCCCTCAGCCTGCTGCCAGGATCGTCCTACATCGGCGACTGGGTGGAGGAGAGCTGAACACTAAGCTTTAGAACGACATGTCTTTGAGATTTTCTGAGATGCACTTGGCTTCAAGCACCACCTGCCACACTCCGCTTTTACCTGAATTGCTGTTGGGAAAGTACAAGGACATGAAATCCGGACAGGGTCTTGAGACCTGGGCCGATGGCTCCACTTTCAAGGGCGAGTACAGGCCTGTGCAGCAGATCTTGTCCATGAGTGCAAACGTGGCTCTTCCTTTTTGTGCCTTTGGCAAAATTAAGTTGCAAGGGAGACGCGTTTCTCTCGGCCTTTGGAGCAGCTACGAGCCATGCTTGACCCTCCTCAGCTCTGGCTTGGGCTGCCCGTGATGGAATCCGCAATCAGCGCTTCAAGCTTGATGTAGGGCTTGGCTGGGCTTGAGTTCCTGTGCTGGGCAGGGACGGCAAGAAACACGGCTATGGAGTCTTCACGTCCTCTGATAACTCGCGGCAGCCTCGAGTCAAAGTGTCACGACACCTGTTCGCTAGAGTGGTTAATCTTCGTGGCATAGCACCGTGAAGTTGAAGCCGTTTCGCCTATGCAGCTAAGCTCCTTGCCACAGGCACGCTGGAACTGAAGAAGCCTAAGCTGGGCTCGGTCCGGTGGGCTAGTGGCCCCGCTTGAACTAGGAATTGGGAATTATTAGGACAAGCCACGGCTCAAGCGACACTCCTGCTCCGGACCCATCGAGGTCGTATTCCGGCCAGTTCTTCAACGACAGCATGCATGGCGAGGCAGCGGCCTTGGTGTTTACACGATCTCTTGTTTGCTGGTTCCACATCCATCCATCACGGCTGCGTGCAGGGTACGTACACCTTCTCGGATGGACGCGGATGCCTCAAACAGCCTGTCGGCGTCCCCTCACTCTGTTGTCAAGACACCGCGGCCTGGCCGGGGCAGTCGATCGCTTGAAGAGATCCATTATGCAGCATTCATGCTGATTCCCGAGGTGTCTACGTCGGAAGCTGGCAAGACAGCCAAATGCCGCGGCCCAACATATCCTCCATCACGAAGTCCCCAAACCACCAAGCAGCAGTGATTCACATATTTACCGAGGATGGGCCATGGCACCATGAGGTGGCCAGATGGTGGAAGCCCTCAGTGAACCGATCAGTAGGATCCTTACAGCTCTTCACCAGCCATCCCACCCTAAATCTGCAAGGCAGATGGTACGAGGGAGACTACCTCGGCGATCGAAAGTCCGGCGAAGGGAAGTTTTGTTGGCCGGACGGTGTCACCCTGAGCCCGCAAAGTTGAGGGACGGACGAAGCTTGGAACCGGCTTGGGACGATATTGCAGCTGATTTCAAAGTTGGTCTGTCGCCAACCAAATACCTGGGCATTGTCGCAGACAGAGGAATGGATCAGTGCAGCAACCTTCTTGAGTCGCATTGCATGGTTTCGACCCGTCGTCCTCATTGGGCGAAAAGATCTGAGAGAACGGACATAATATACCCAACCAAGCCGTGCTAGCATCAGTTTCCTTGACAGAGGGCTGCGAGAATGCCAGAGGAGTGGCACCAAAAGCACCAAAAAAACTCCTGGTGCATCTGTGATGTGGTGGGAACTGTTTGAAATGTATCGACAGCGTTGTAAATGGCACAAATGGCGAGGGATTGAGTCAAGAATCCTTGTTTAGAAGAATGGTGAGAATGGAAAGGCAGTGAGCCACTGCCCCGGCTGAGGCAAGCGACAGCAATGAAATTGAAGATCTAGGCATGCCGTGAGAACCAGCCATATCGTGTGGCCTTGCCTGGTTCCGTGCTCTCGAACTTATGCTACTCTTTCCTTTTCGTTCTGGTGTGCTGGATGTCTTCGTCGTGCGACAACATGTTCTCATCTCCACCGGCCGAGGCCGGCGCTACGTAGGCCAGTGGCTGGAAGGCAAGCAGCACGGCAAAGGTGGCATGGCTGGCAAGAGCGGGCGGTGCAGGGATGTAGGGCACGGTGCACTTAGCGCGGTCGCGGTGAGGCAGATACGTCGATGTGAAGGGCGTGGCGCGGGAGGGCCTGTGGAAGGTGCTGCGATCTGTCCAGGGGATTGGCTCAAAGTCTCAGCGAGGATTGTGAGGATTGGAGGATGTTGCAAGAGGTTGTCGAAGCCAGGCTGGTACGCGCCTTCGATGGACCGATGAAGACGAGCCGCCTGCGCCAAGCTGAACCTTGGGGGGTTGGTCTTTCGCGTTCTTCGACTTGAAATGTTTCTGAAAGTGTTCCTGTTGCTGTCGATGATGTTTCTTTGGTGCTTTCGATGGTAAGTAGAGGAGCTGGGCCGTTTAGGGCCTTTACTGTGCCGAGCCCTGACAGTATCGGCCGAGACACGGACACAAACTGGCACCGGATGTCCGGCACCAATTCCTTACCAAGTATTGCGTTTATCTTCAATAAAAATCGAGAGGCTGTATGAGACTGTGTCCGTTCCTTGGCCGTCTGCCAGGGCGTCGTGTTTCACTCCAGGGCTTGCAACAAATTGCAGGTTCCAGCCACACCAAATCAATACAGGGAGGAGTTCGCGTCGCTTTCAATGCAATCTGGTTGCAAGAGCATCGATTCGGTGTGCAGCCAGAAGTAGCTGAGCCTATGCCTCCACATAGGCTCTTCATCCCGAGGACAGCGCACCTCGGTAAGGAAAAAGCTGGGTTTGGGGCTTGGGGGCAGCTTCCAGATCGCGCGAGTATGGGTCCATCGGAAGAAGGCAGTACTTGCCAGATAGACGCCTCAACCTGCAAACGCAAAAAGGGCCCCTGCTTTTCTCTTGCGTGAAGATCGTGAAGCTGCCAAACCGATGCGTGCAGGCATGCTGCTATCAGTTCTGAGTTGTATTCTTTGGCGCTTTTCCTGTTGCCGTCGCTTCCTTCATTCGCCTCCGCAGTGTATCTCCAGACCTCAGCCTTGTAGTTTGCAAAGTTTGCCAAGATCTTGTTGGATATTTCCAGTGGCGTTTGCTCGTCGAGCATGGTTTAACCAGAGCGGAAGGGAAACAGGGAATGTGGCGTAGAGACCGGATCCTCTCGCGATTCGCCACATTAATAGGTCCGACGACTGCTGGAGGATGGGATAACTACCGCCAGAACCAACCAGAATTTCCAATCAGATCAAACAGCCAAGTAGCAAGCACCGACAAGAGCAGCGTCAACTGCCTGTGGTTCGCGATAGCTCAGAACGGGTGGCAGCGGCAAATTCCGGTTCTCCAAGACACCAACAAGTGGTCACAAGACAGTCGCTGCAATAAGGTGTGCATGCCCAATGCTGGGAGAAACGACAGGAGCAAAGCACGGAGGTGTTCTGCACGAAAGCCAGAAACTCCAGGAGCGCCCCCCTTCGTGCGCCAGTGGGGCTATCGCTCCCGACGCAAAGGAGCAGTGGCGCTCAGTGTGTCTGGCGGCATCCGTGTCCGCTTGGCGGTCGCGCAATGCGGCCGGGCGGGCACCAAGTGGCAACAGCGTGCGGCGATTGCATGCAACGCGCGTTGTCGCCGGTTGGCGGCCGCTGAGGGCGGACCCGCCTCGGGTGGTCCGCTTCGCCGATGCATCGGCCATGATGCTCGCGTTTTCAGCGTCGTGCCACATCGCTGTTGTGGGGATTGGTGGGCCGGGGTGAGCGGCCTTGCCTTCAAAGTGCCGGCCTCGGTACGGGTGCGGCATCCAAGTGCTGACGTCGCGCCTTGGCGCAGCCTGGCACAGCCTGGCAAGCGTATAGACTCCTCTGACGGGGGTCGTGCTTCCAAGTGCCCAAGCATTGCAGTCGTTCAAACCTTCCCTGAGCCAGCTCGAGACACACATCGGGCGGCAGTGCAGCACATCAAAAGCAATCATTCCCCATGTGAACGCTCGATTTCGTCAGCACCCGCTCGGGAATTCTTGTGTGCCAAAGCGCGGGGAAGCGACTGCTGTCGGGCTGGCATCTGGTGACGAAGCCATGTACGAGGGCTCACCGATCCGTTTCAAACGCTCGCCACAGCTGCGGAGGCCCATTCCTAACAATGTCCGAAGCTTCCGGCCGGAGTCTTTGCCCAACGACAAGCGGTTCAGCCACAGCTTATGTCGGCTTTGCAGTCGCAAAAAAAACAACAACGACACCAGGCACCCTCGCCGGAACATGCCGGAACGGCCGCCACGCCCGTGCCTTCCGCAGATGCTGAGCCCCTGCCCTGGCACACCAAGCTGCTACTAGTAGATACCTCTGCTGCATACGGCGCAGGCAACTTGACCGCGTGCGCTCAACATGTTTGGAGGCTCTATTCGGCTCTCGATTTTGGGAACTCGTGTCCTTGCTGCGTGATGCGCCCCCAGTTCCGCCGTGAATGCTCGCCCACACCTTGCTCGCGGTCGCCGAGTGCGAGGCTCATGCCGTTCAGCGAGGCACCTCAGCGGAAGATCGAAAATCGGCGGCAGCGCTCTCCGCCATGCCCGATGCCCCGCTGCCTTTATCGGCCGCACTGCTGGTTTGCATGCCAGGCAGCACATGGCTATCTCACAGCGGCAGCGCAAGCAGCATTTTTAGAGTGCTACGCGGGTGCGACGGCAGCTGCGAGCGGCGACGAACGTGTCCCCACCTGCCCAGCCGGAGACCACGACGACGCCGCAAATGCGACGCCGGACACAGTGGTGAGCCGAAACGCTCCTATGCCCGGTGCCTACGCTGCACCCTTCATGAGAGCCGCTGTGCGGACAGCGTTGACCATGCTTTGCAACTCCGCGACGCTTGCGAACCGACGAAGCGCCGGTGTCGCGTGCGTGGAAGTTCTTTGCCCTCGCACGGCACATGCTTCTTGCTCGCACGCGCCTCCGCAGAGCTCAAAGGGGGGGGTGCAATAATTGCTGGGTGAGCTCTCCAGACCCCGCCATCTCCGCACGGCTGCTGAGCTTGCTCCCAGCAGTGGGGCCACTTGACAGACCCCGCACACCGCGCTCCGCGACTGCGGTTGCGGTTGCCCTGCGGGATGCGAAGCGAGGCAAAGCGGCAGGGTTGACTAGCGTGCGCGCGAGCGGCAGTACCTGCTCCAAGACTGGCCAACCCTAGACTTTTTCGCCATCTCCCGCCTATGTTGCAACCAGGCTGGCGAATGGACGGGTGCCAGCCGGCGTCGTTCCAGGCATGGCTTTAGCCCACCTCACACTTCTCTCAGCAAACGTCATGTTGGCGTGTGCGGCATAGCGCCACGCGACGTGTTCCGCCGCCTCATGTCGCGCGCGCCTTGGTGACGAGCTGCGCAAAGACTTTCGACAGAACCCACGCGCACTTATACACAGGGCCAGGTCGTTCTGCTGGAGTGACATATGCAGCGAAACAGGAACATGCGCGGAGTCGCTGCCGAGCAAGCAGGCATCGTGCTCAGCACCTGCTTCAAACTCGCATGGCTCGGTTGCTCGCCTTGCTCAACTGACCCACAATGTCCTGGAGCTCGTTGGCGGACCGGCTGATGGCCGCCAGCAGTGAAGGATATGCCAAGGGCCGTCCGGCACCGCCCTGTGGAAGGTAGCGTTAACAGTTTGCGGGGGCTGCAAATTGAGCTTCCCGTTGCCGTTGCCGCAGGTGTTTTGGCCTTTTGCGTGAGGGACTTCATGCACGAAGCATCTCCAGGCGAATTGCGTGTGGCTGGCACTGATGGTGTGGTTAGGTCGCCCTTCTTCATTCGCGTGGCATTTGGGCGCAGCTCCCGACGCATCAGCCAAACTGAAGGTGTCGAACCAAGGGACCCCATCAGCCCTGCTATCGCTGCTCTGTTTTGCTTGGGTTTGCTCCAGCAGGAGAGCCCCGAGGATCTAGGTGCACGCCCACTTCCGTAATGTCACCATCCTTGCGTCGCCTGAGCGGGCGAAGCACCAGGTCCGGCGCTTTGAATCCCACCTTGCGCGCCACACACGACTACGCCCTTTGGAATGAGGCTGGCGTCGGCCTTGGCGGCTTGCAAGAAATCAGTCTTCCCTCCACGCACTTTTTACGACTGCGCAAGTTGTCCTGCAAGACGGAGGTTGTCCCAATCCCGCCGTGCCCACTGGGAACGCTACCAAACGGTGACACGATGTCATGTGGGCTATGTTCTGAGATGGCTTGTCTGGGGCGTGCCACTCGGGAAAAACTCCACACTGCCAATGTTGATGGGCACCGCCAGGGGTTGAGAGGCATTTCCCCCCTCTCTGCCCAGCCGCCCACCTCCGTGTGGCTGAGTTCCTGGACTTCGTAGATTCTTCGGCTGGACTTCACGCCGTAGTTTGTGCACTGGGACCGCATGCAAGACTTCTGCGGAAAAAGGGCGTGACAAAGAAAAAACCTTTCTGAGGATGTGAAGGAGAGAGGGCAGCTACATGGCTATTTGGCAGGCGAGTGGGCTGTTTGGGGGTTATGTGTCCCGGGCGCCAAACAGCGCGACGGAGACTGGTTTTGAAAAGGCTGACATGTAGCCCAAAGAGCCACCAGCCCAGCGCCCAAAACCAGAAACCCAACCCACAGAATTCAGGCCCGCGCAGCACCCACGCATCTTCCGGGAAGCACGGCGTCCACGCCAGAATTCTCATAAAGTGAAGTCGCGGCAGGGGCCCGGAAGTCATTGCACAGAATGTGTTTATGTAGGGAATCCCCAAGTACACCTAAGTACATGCTGTTCCACAAGCACGCGTTCGAGACACACATACGTGGCGTTTTACCGGAATCCCCTCGTGCATGCTGGGTCGATGCAATGCAGCCATCCCCTCGTTCTAAAGCTGGGGTTTCCTGCACCTGCTTAAACGCCACCAGAAGTGAAGCCTTCTTTTTTATTGACTGCTGGCAAAACAAGGGCCTTGTTGCCCGATGAGTTTTTTTTGCGGTATCCGCATGTACACGCCCGCGCGACACAACTTTTGGGAACGGACATCTAAGCATATGTGCGCTGGGGCTTGCCACCATGACAACGGGTCTTAGTTGGGCTTTGCATGCGCGCATTATTTTGCATATTTCGCAATCCGCATGTGTTTGCCGGTGCGAAACGATTTCAAACTACTTGCCTGATGAGCTTATATAGGCGGATATAGGCGGTATCCCCGTGCGCACGCTTGCGCGAGACGACCTTTGGGGAGGGACAACAAAGCATGTCTGCACAGCGCTTTGGTGGAACCAACACGACGCGATGCGACTTAACCCTTGGATGTTCACCAAGGTGACCTCCGTCGCTGGACGCC